GTGTATGTGTCTAGAAAAAAATTTAAATGTGTGCATTTGCAAGGCGGCATTGGTGGCTGCGACCATTGTTTGAAGAAGAACAGATAGAAAAAAAGAGAAGCAAAACACAAACATGATGGTCGTAGTAATTTTAACGGTGTTCACTGATTCTTTTTCAAAATATTTCCTAGCTCGATAAAATGGTTGGTTGAATAAAGAAAAATCTGCTTGATGAACAACATTAATGAAGTTTATTATTCTTTGATTTAAAAATGACTAATAGAATAGAGAAGAAAAGTTGAGAATTAAATTCTTCGGACGATGAAACGAGTTAGTAGGAGTAAAAGCAAAAACAACAACAAAAAAATATTATTCGTTTATTTCTTTGCTTCTCTTTTTTATATGTTCTATCGATAAAATCATTTGCATGAAAATAATATATATATCGAGTTTGGCTTTTGGTGAAAAGAAATTTCTAGTATTTCTTCTTTCTTTCGAGCGTTAAAAATAAAAAGAAAAAAACATATTTAATTTGGCATAAAACAAAAAGTGATAATCGACAGATTATAAAGAAGATTATCCTATAACCTTACGTTTCTACCAAGAAAAGATAAAGAAAGCGACAATTATAAATCTCTATAAATGGATGATTATTAATCGTTTAAAAAAGATCTTTTTTTCTCATTTGAATTGTGTATCATTCTTATAACATCTACAACTCTATAGTATTACGTTCTTCGAGTAAAAGATTTAAAACTAACAACTGGCAATATTTTTTAGTGTACCTTGGAAAATCATGTTTTCAAAAGCTCTTTATATTGGTAGACACATCTTTAATACAGAACTTCTTTTCTTCTAATGATAATATATACGACACATACGATAATGAGCAGTAAATACCACTTTATTCTTCGTTTCGTCTGTTCAACTAGCATATTAGTCTGCTGCACACATTGATTTAATTGTTCAATAAACTTTTGAGTACATTATCCTTTCTCTCGACGAATTTTAACATATAATATTGAATTTTGCGTAAACTTCAAATTCAATTAGTTCATCCTATTCTGACCTTGAGAGATCAATAATATCACTGTCCTACTCAATGACATCTACAATAAGGTCCTTTCGCTGCATCCAATTCCAAAACTCGCTATATTTAAACTAATTAGAATCTAGGGTAAAAAAATATTAGATTCATAGAATACTTTGAAAGATTCTCGAAAGTTTCGAAATGATCTAACTACTATTATCACTGACGTACATTTTTCCGTTGCTATGAAAACGTATTCAATAATCTGGAGCTTCTCTCTCCTCGATTGTTAAGGCCTATGAGATTCGCAAAAACCTCGATTTAAACTTCCACTCACAATATTTTCTTCGAAAATATATATGAGTTCCATAAAATTGTTATCAGTTTTGTGTGAGAAACAAAATTCACAGTTTTATAGAGCTTGAAATTCTCTATCTTTAGATATAAAATAGATTTTTTTCATGATTAAGAAACGAGAGAAAAATGCATCGAGATTTAGTTTAATTTCCTGCAGAAAATCCGTTAGTATCAATAATATTATTTGAAGAAGATGTATAAACATTTACATTCTTTCTTTCGCTTAGAAGGATGTTAGTTTTATCGAACATTGCATCAATATCAATCTGTAGAAATAAAATGTAAGACTATATATTCAGATTGAATAACGAACATTTTAAGATTAGACAATTATGTTCTTTTCAATACTAATACTAGACATATAATTTAGAGTTGAATGAATACTCAAGAGTTTCTATTTAAAAGTAACAATATAAACAGAAAAGTTCATTATATGTTTTACTTTTATTCAAGCATAAAAAAATCTCTACAATTCAATAATAAATCATTGAATGTATTCAGTTCTGTCACAAAAAATTTTAACGCGCATTTTATTGTTTACTACTTCTTGTTTTTTTCTTTTTTTTTTCATGTATTTTTAAAATGAAGTTTATATCATCAGAATCAATTGCTTTTGATCGAATTCAAATTATGTCATGGGAGTCATTTGTACCTAAATCTATTCAAAAAAAAACAAGTCAACAAGACCTGGATTTTTCTTCAACAAGTATAACTTCTCAATCTATGTCTATATCATTCTTTTATGATCCATGTCAAACAACAATATCTAATCTTGCTTTCTATATCAATCCCCAACGGCGTCCTGATATTATTTTAAATCATTGTTTATCATATAAAGATGATAAACAAAAGACTATTTATTAAATATAAAAGTTTAAACAAACTATAATGAAAATAGAAATATTGAAATAAATTATACTAATTATATAAATTTGAAAGGTTATTCTAATGAAAAGAAACCGGAAAGCAAGTTGTGTGTTCATTATATCTGATTAATGTTACATTAGACTTAAATCATTAATGATGAAAATTTCATCTCTCGTATAAGTATCAGATTAACAAGACCTTTTCATCCAGTCTTATATTATTGTTGTTGTTATTGTCATTTTCATCATAATCAAGATATATAAAATAGTCATTGTAATCGTATATTCTCGTGAGACATTAAAATCGATCAAAAAGAAAGAAAAGAGATAATGATTAATAGGCACGTTAAATAAGTTCATTTCGAAATATATGTGCAGAGTATTAGATGATGAACTCATTCGTAAAAGGTATCGCATAAAAGATTGCATTTTTTGACCTCTTCGCTGTTCGAAAGTGTCCGGTTTTGACCGGCTTCCTCGCTCCAATAAACATTTAATTTGCAAAACTTTTTTTTTGAGAAAGAGACTCTTTGTTTAAATACACTGATTTTTCCTATTAACTTCTAATAGATTCTTTTCGGATGTTGCTGGAATTTCTTTTGTTAAATATCGAAGCTTTATGACAGGCGGGATTAAATCAAAAGTAAGTCAACTCATGGTTTGGAATTTCATCAAATATGAGAACGTTTCTTATGGAGTTTGACGAGATCCAACTGTGAGATTCTTCATTCTGAATATATGTCACAGACAAAATTAAACTTGGACAAAATTCGTTTTTACTGAAGCGCAAAATAACGAAATAATTTTCTTTTATTTAAAAATAAATTCTAATTCTCGTTTGCATTAAGAACATATAGAACGTACTTGTGTTTTTTTTTCATTAGACACAGTATTCATTTTTACTTATTCATACTGTAATACATGTACCAATGAATTACACGTCGTTGACATAGGAAATTGATTTTCGAAAGTAGCTAAATAATATTTAGAATTTTTAGAGTATTAAATTCTAATGTTTTTGGGTTGGAAAATAACTCAACAAAACTTAACAACATCTTATATTTATATTTTATGTATCATCAATGAACCACGTAAAATTCTAAATAAACATCAACAAAAAATACTACTTAACAAGGATACGCTTAAAGACCGTTTCTTTTTGTTTTTGGCCGAACCTTGCTAAGACAAACTGAGTATCAATTGAGAATACTGGCGAACTCTATAACTCCGTAGATTTAACTATACTTTAATTAAAGTTGAACACAATAGGGATATAAAAGATCAGTTCTTTATTATCGTCTTTTTCGAGTGTTTTAATTTTTAAATCTTTGGAAAACTTTGTTTGCACTTTGTCTACTCTATATTTCCTAGACTGAAAGAATAGGGTCTAGAAATGGAAGTTCGCGTATGTCTGTAACTATGATCCAAATGACCATAACTACCAGTTATGACAGGAATGACTGCGTAGGATGACAATGAGTACCTAGGTATTAGAATTCATGTTGACTGACAAGAAGTATCCACCAATGAGAGATACGAAATCCATGTACACTCGGCATTTCACCGTATACAAACGTATTTCTCTCTATAAGATGTGGGAAATATGATCGTAATATTGAGTCATGTAACACGCTAATATACGGCGGTTTACGAGCTTGCTTGTTCCATCTGGGATACTTTTAGAACTGATAATACTTACTATTAAACTCGATCCATTGTTCAATGGTGTCTACATAATGATGTTATATAGTAATTGTTAAGAGTTAGATAATGCATAGGAACATAAAATTATGATAGACTAAAATCTCATTTCTCGAATAATGCAGTAGTAACTTATTCGCAATAGTAGAAATTGTGCTAATATAACGAATTGTAAACAATTGTATTTATTTCTATTTTATCTTTATCAATTAATATATATATGTGACATTAGTTTCATTTCAAACGAAGAAGATACAGAATAATATGAATGATGAAAAATCGGAACATTTTCAGTTTCAAATTTTTTTTTAATTTAAAATATTGAAATGTCGAGCACAAAATTCTTACAGTCAACATACTATTATTTATGATCGCATATCTTTGATAGAATTTCAGTAATTGAACATATATCAATATATGACAAAAAGAATTATTTATTCACTGTACTTGATAATCATTTGAAATTGAAAATATTTTCTGCAGAAAAATCAATAGCATCGCTCATATAAACTAGTAGCGTAATCAGAAAAAAGTTGTACAGAGAGCGAGAGCTCAGATCCCCTGACCATGTCCATAGAAGGAGCTCAAAGTGTTCTATGGAAACATAAGCCCCCCTCTAGCCTCTGTCTAATTACGCAACTAATATAAACTCACTTTGATTAGACCTAGAGGTAGCATATTCAAAATCATTTTTTCTTGATAAAAATAAAAAACAAATTTCATATTACGGAAAAAATACTTTTATGGAACGAGTCACTGTTAAATGTCAAGTCATCTCTTACATTTTTCTATTACTTGGTTTAAAGCACATTTGTATCTAGATGTGCCTATATGCATGTCTCTATTCCGCCAGTCTAGTGTCAAGTGAATCGATTCTCGATAAATGTTACTTGTATATATTTCTGTAATGGTATATGCTATGAAAATAATGCTTACGTTATGATTAAATGATAACTATTTATATGAGTTTTGTATTCATTGAAAGAATGATTAAGATTGTAAAAAAAATGTTTCTGGATTGCGGAAACGAATGTGAAGATTCGCAAAAAAAACCATTTTGTATATTCTTATATGTAATTTATTATAATAACAAAATCTACTCAATGATATAGATGATTGTGATAACACTAATACATATTCATAATTTCCAAACACAATATCTAATGCATTCATTTAATAAAATGCAAATCAAAATTTTCTCAACAATTTGACGTTTTAATCTTATAACATTTCGATTAAAAGCTTTCATTTTTTTTCTCATCTGGGACGAAGTATGCAAAATTCATATATACGCAGAAATGACCGTATACGATCGTTTGTTGGCGTATTACGTGGTACCTTATTTTCGATTGTATTTTTTCGTATCGTATACGAATTTTGTATGCTTCGTCCTGAGATCAAACAAATTATGAATATTATTCTTTCATTCAGTCAATTTCAAAAATAAAAATTCGAAATTCTTTTTTTTTTGTACAGATAATCTTTTAATAAAATCTATGAGTTGTATGGGAAAATATGTTCTGTTATTTTATGTGTAATAATCTCTTTTTTTTTTCTTTAATAAAATAAAACAAAAATTTAAATTACAAGAAGTTATATTCTATTTAATCGTTCATTAAAAAAGAAAAAAATAAATCAGTTCGATAAACCAAAAACGGTTACAGTAACAAACATTGTTTCATTTTCCCAACTAAATAAAAAATAAATAATAGTTTACTTTTATTTTTCAATTTATTTTTAAAACTCTTACCGAAGAGTACATGATCTATCACTTGTCTCATCCCAAAGACATGAACTTGCTGTATGTAAACCAGCACCAGTTTTTTCCATAATTACACAAAATACAATATATTTATATGGTTTATTCAATCTTGCTAATGAATTAAGTATTGTTTCGACTATATTTGATGTCCATAAATTAACTTTTGTTTTTTCATATGTTTGATATATAAGAGTTCCTACAATTGAATCTTGTATTATATTTGATACTTCATAATCAAGAAAACCTCTTCCATATGTACGATCCATTGTTTAATTAGAGAAAAATCTGAAAAAATACAATACGAAACTTTCTTTTTCATGAGCTCGTACGAGGAAAAAACAGGTCAATATATATGTATGCACAAGTATAAATAGATTTTTTTTTCATCATCATCATCACGCGCTTACCACAAGCAGGTATGTGTCGAGGAGGAAAAAAAAATACGTGTATGCGGGTGTATGTGTCTAGAAAAAAATTTAAATGTGTGCATTTGCAAGGCGGCATTGGTGGCTGCGACCATTGTTTGAAGAAGAACAGATAGAAAAAAAGAGAAGCAAAACACAAACATGATGGTCGTAGTAATTTTAACGGTGTTCACTGATTCTTTTTCAAAATATTTCCTAGCTCGATAAAATGGTTGGTTGAATAAAGAAAAATCTGCTTGATGAACAACATTAATGAAGTTTATTATTCTTTGATTTAAAAATGACTAATAGAATAGAGAAGAAAAGTTGAGAATTAAATTCTTCGGACGATGAAACGAGTTAGTAGGAGTAAAAGCAAAAACAACAACAAAAAAATATTATTCGTTTATTTCTTTGCTTCTCTTTTTTAT